TTTTGGTGTCACTATTTACATTCTAGGGCTTTTAGAGCCAGGAGAAGAACCTGGTGAAGCAGATATTTGCATCCTCAGCTTCTTTGGGGTCCCTAGGTGACATTAGGGGTCTGAAAGACCCCTGATGTCTCCATAAAGAGGACCTGTCACACCCTATCTGCTATTACATAGGGGGCTTGTTAGCTTTGTTAGTTTTTGAGGAACCGGATGAAATTCGCACAGTGGGTGCTGCTGTCGGCACCCTTTCGGCTGGCATCCATCGATCAGATGACCGAAGCAGCCGGTCGGAAAATCTTCGTACGATCAGAGCCGGCAGCCAATGAGCCGCTCGTTCTGTTCGGGTATTCTGACAACGGCTGGTGTCAGAATACAGTACAAACAGCGGGTTTCCTCGATGTTGGTAGTGTTGATGGAGGAATCGACTCTATTCTTTTTTTCGTTCAGCCCGTGTGTTGAACGCGGAAAATAGAGCAGTGTATGGCCAGCTTTAGAATTGATGCTGGTTTGAAGCCAAAGGGTAGTCACACCAAACATTGGTTTGATTTAGATATTTCTTCTGTTCACTTTCTTTGCATTTTGTAAAATGATAAAGATAAACAATACAAATATATATTTGAAAGCATTCTTACTTTACAGCATTTTTTCACACCTGCCTAAAACTTTTGCACAGTACTATATATCTGCATTGTAGGAGTAATAACAAGACATAGTGAGGCCCTGGTTCACATTTAACATCGGGACCATGAAGAGTTTTCTTGTACTTCTGTAGCAAAGTGTCCCTCTTACATTTTCTCGGTTACAATCATAGCACTTACATGGGTTACGACAAGCTAAGTACACAGTTTTATCTTGTGGTTTTTATCTGACAACTAGTAAGGGCATAAAGGAGTAAATAGATTCCCTGAAACAGAACAGTGTATTTGAATTGCTTTTCTACAGAGAAACAATAATGCATATCAAATAGTAAAAAGCATACAACAAAACAAAGGTCATTATGTACATACAGGTTGACTGCACACCAGCTATTCCCAAACTCTTTCTTTATTCTTTCATTAAAACATTACACAAGAGATGAACTGAGACCTCTGATGCATTTCATGCACACAGGCACTTAGACACAGACTCTATGACCCTTCAGTAATCCCATGTCTGAAAATAAAAAGATAACGGAGAAAAGGCAGAAGAAATCAATGTTACAAAACAGCTAAATAAAAATCTCTCTCAGTCCGGCACAACTTTAATGTTAATGCAAACACTAAATTCCATATAACCAGAATTTCAAGGGTCTCTCCAGCTGTGGAAGTATGTCAGTAATCACAATGCAGGAGATCAGCCCATACATGTCTGCTAGGATTCAGGAATGTATCACATAAGCAAATTGTGTGAGAACAGTTTCCAGTGTAGGGGGCTGAAGGAGTCTTTGCTGTACTCCTATTCAGCACTATGGAATGCACTATATGAATAATACTTATTATGACACTTCTATGTATTGTATCTACATGCAGACATATAGCAGTTCTTATAGGAAACGTACTGAGAAAATCTGGAGGCTGCTAATGAAGAGCTCTCCATCTGAAAATGTCAGTTGCATGGGTATCATGTTGATGCAAAGACTAAAATATATTATGAGCCACTGCCCTGGAACAAATATGGGGTTCGGGAGTTCTGCGTTCCTTTTGACTTCCCTCATAGTGTGCTTATTCCAGATCAGTGACTAAAAAAGTATTCAGGATAAAGACAGGCAGACAAATAGCCTTTAGGCCAGGTTTCCTCTCTCTAGCTTTAGTGCCATAGTGCCATATATTGCATTTTCATATTGACTTGCATCATTTTTGATGCATTAATACACATCTTTTAGAAATCATGTGTTTTTTGGTTTGGCCAATGAGCATTTTCTGAAGTGACAACACTGTTATCGACTTCTTCAGCAGCTACCTGTATACAATAGAATACAAATATATTATATTGTATATAGAAATATTGTTACAGACATGACTCCCAGAGGCATGTTGGAATTTGTAGTTAAAGCACAGCTGGAGGATTGGAGTTGCACACCCCTGCCATAATAGGAAGTGCCTTAACCTGGACCTTTAAGGCGGTATCACTAGATATTATGCAGATTTAAAAATGCTGAAAAAGTTGCAATAAGATGGTGAGTTGAGTGACATTTAGTGACTGGGTTTACACACACATGTATGACCTTTTCAGCACACTTCCATTATTCTGGCCGTTTCACAAGTCACCTATAGGTGTCGCTGCGATGACCAGCAACCTGAGGGTAATGAGTTTTCTCCACCTCCTGAACGCAATGTTTGAGTCCTTCCTCTATTTGGTTGTATTATGACACACGGGAGGACGTACCACGCCTTCTTCTATGGGAGGGGGAGCCACCCCCTATTGAGTGTATCCCTACATCCCAGCAGCGAGAGAAGAGCGGCTGATCTACCAATGGCCGCAGTGGTGGGCTGGCTCCAGCGGCACCTGAGTGTACTGATACATCGAGCTGGCTGAGGAATTTCCCAGTCTATCTATATCGTGATCCGACATGTAGGGAAGGCGAATGTATCACTGCGACATACATGGTGAGTACACCGTGCACAGGGCTGCAGCCTGACTTCCCTGGGTACTTTGTAAGACACTGATAGCGTCTTACTATGAACAATTCACACAGAACTCACCGACCTGCTGCACCCATGTCATGGACTATTACTCCTTTCATTCTTATTATTTGTTGTTTACACTCTTACATTAGATTGTACTAAAGGCTGCAATGCAGTTCAGAATTACAGCAAGATATGCTACAAGAAGATACAATAGAGAACAAACTTTATGTAAAATATCTCCATATTTTTTTCAGTATAATCTCTGTCCAAAGGTTTAAGATGTTTGGACAGAGATTGTACTAGTCGATGAGACTCCGGGGGGAATTTAATAAAACTGGAGCAGTTGCGCATAGCAACTAATCAGCTTCTCTCTATAGTTTGTTCAGTAAAGCTTGAAATCTCTCCGCACTACAGTTTCATAATACATTTCATATGTAATCCTCAATTTCCATTAATTAGTAACCCATTTATTAGAGCTCCACATTAGAGCTCCGCTATGGACAAAGAGAGGGATTTTTATATCCCACAAGGCCAACTAATAGGAACGCACAGGGCTTATGACAAAATATCTGGATTTTGGACCCAACAGCATTAAAGTCGGTCAGTAGAATTCATATAGAGTCTCGGACACATTATTATTATGATATTATTATTATTATTATTATTATTCAGGATTTATATAACACCAGCAGTTTGCACATTGCTTTACAAAATAAGGAAGACATTACAGTTAGAAGACAAGATGGTTAGGAGGACTCTGCCCGCGAGGACATACAATGTAAAAAGGCAGATCATGTGATACAAAAGGTAGTAACTATGGGAATCATTTGTTTAGAAAGTAAAATGTCAGTTGTTAGTGGCAGAATAGTCTTCCCTGAAGAGACAAGTTTTCAGGGTTCCTCGCACACCTGCGCAAAAAATAGTTTGGATAGCGTCCTATCCATGTACACAATGGAAACGCGTACATGAATTTGATAGGCCTGTTGCAATCAGGGCCAATTTGGAGACCAATTGAGGCTGCTGCATTAGATATCACTCATGCAGGGGGCGGGGCAGAGTGTTCATTTCGAACACTTCATCTTTAGTGCACAGGCGCAGCGAACAAGCTCCTTCAGTGACTGGATGGCTAATAGTTTTCTTTCAGGTCCACCAGCTTGTTGTCTGCTTTTGAATGGACAGAGCCTGATGGATTATATTGAGACACTAGTTCCCCATCAGGACTGCCTCCCCTTAGATTGGCAGTAGATGGAGCCTGATGGGTGATGCTGAGGGAGTAGTTCCCCATCAGGTCTGACTTCCTTATGATTGACAGCATATGGCAGTGTGTGGATTCCATAACTGCTAGTGGAGTGACCTTCCCAATACTATGATGTAGTATGTTCAACCCCACGTCATTGATTGCTATAATGCTGGTGGCCACCTGCTTCTCAGCAGCCAGTGACACTGTGTGGCAGATAGCCTCCTAAAAACATTGACTGAGGGGGTTTAATACTGGAGGTAAATAAGACCAACATGACATTGGTCTAATTTACCAACACCCCCAGTGGGTCTTAGAGAGCAAGAATGTGCTTCATGACACACCCTAGGGCCTATTCACACTTTTCTATTCCACTGCATTTAAAACATATGAATATGATTGTATAAAAATGCACCTCAAGTAGAAATCCCCATATGGCTGGTTCACATATATGCATTGTAGCTTTGTGTGTTTTGAAATGGAAACTATAAAGGCACCTTCTGTTGTGGTGTGTTGTATTAATACATGCATGATGTGTTGAGGTAGCCTCTTCATTTGAATGAGCTACCAACGCACCAAAAGGGAAAAGCACCTGCATCTTTTTTTTCCTGACGCAGTGCACCACAACATATGGTAGTGTGTTACTCTGCATTGTGACACTGGTGCATTGTGTACAGATGTGTTAGGGTGCCATTTAAAAATAATCTTTGTGTTTTGAAGCCAGCCTAAGGCCACTTCACACCTACATGTGTGTATGTTACCACATACACTGCAGTGGTCATGTATACATGTGAATGGGCCCTTAGGCAAGTTGAGCTGTTTGGGTTGCATATAAAATATCTTGTAAATAGGGTTGCTTGATTGCCTCTGTACCTGTGACACAGGAAAGCTGGAGCTGGTACTACCATGCAAGGGGTGGAAGGAGGGCTTACTGCAAAGGTTATAAAGAGCTATAACGTTCTGGTGGGGATCATAAAGTGAAGAACATTTTGGGTGACAAGGTCTCCTCGATCCTGCATACTGTTCTGGTTTCTTCCATATTGTTCTTTTGCTTTCTGCATTTTGTATACAAATAACTTCTGTGAATTGATTTAAAGATAATTATCAAGCTAAAGTAAGAAAGTTTTCTCCTATTTTTCAGACTTTTGTGGAATCTTAAAATGGAAAGCTTTTTCCAGGATTCGGATCCCCAGGTGTCAGGAAACCGACAATGGATGTCACATTTGTGTGAAACGTTGTGGGATGTACCTCTGTACAATTTGTCAATCCCAGGTACTGCATTGTGTTTCTTCTGGACTTGGCAAGCAGTGTTGGCAGCACCAGAATACATATTTTTATAAAGCGTTGTTAGATACTTTGTTTTCTTCACTTATAAAATTGCTATCACGTGACTTGGATAATGGTAATGCTTATTATAGTGTCAGTAATGATGGGAAATATACAGTTGCTTTGATAACATGCCCTAGAAATAAGTTTCCTATTTCCTCTTATTTAATTAGCTATGCCACCGCGGAACACTGTAACATTTCTGTTTGTGAGAGAAAGGCATTTTAAAGCGGATGTAAAGTATTTTGTTGAAAAAATGCTGACCGGCAGAGAAGAGACTGGTTAAACTGGGTAGCCCAAGGATTGAATTTGAATCATGGATAGCCCTATCTTCTCAACAAAAGTTGATCATTAGATCGACTTTTGCTGAAGGGACATGCTGGAAAATTGATGGCCGAACACAGATTCAAGCACTATTTGGGTATTCTGACAATGGCACCGGCTGCACACAGTACAATGTACACAGCAGTAGATGAATTCATCCACATGTTGGCATGGACGGAGGAATCTGTCAGATATTTTTGGTTCAGTCTGCAGAGAGTGGTGACTGTCAGTCATGGCACCGTGCAGGGATTCACCCCTCCCCTCTCTCTGTTCTTATCTTATGGCACTCATTGGAGGGACAGACAGGAAGGGGGTGGGCAAAGCTGGCTTTGGCTCTTGGGAGGCAGATCCAGTCAATCAGGCAATGGAGTGGATCTCAACAATATTATCAGGATGGCGGCAACTGTACAAGGCACTTGCCTTTTAGGCTCCATTCACACCGAAGTGTCAGCGTTTTCACGCGTTTTGTTTAGCATCGTGTCTAGCCAGTTTAGCGTGTTTTGCGTGCATTAAACACATGTACATGAAGACACGTGTTTTAATCAGCAGATTGAAATACATTGCAGTGAATGGACAAAACGTGTGCAAAAACGTGCACAGAAATGTGCAAAATGCTTGAGTCATGCGTTTCCATTGAAGTCTATGCAGCCAAATGCGCTGTAATCTGCCAAAAAAAGCTCATATACTTTTTCCAGCGTTTTACAGCTCACGACAATACACTCGGGTGTGCACAGGGGCCATTGAAATGAATGGGATTTCTTGCGGTGAGAGTGTTGGCGCTTTAAGCTTTGAGCATCAAAACACCTAGGTGTAAACAGGGACTTAAAGTGAATCTGAGGCCAGGCTATGGACATTCAGATCAAATTTACATGTCCTTAACAAGCAGGAAACGAGCTTCAAAACAAGTCCTCACTAATCTCTGTAGCTGCAGGTACTGTGGAGCAATTCATCCTCACAATGCAAAGCAGGACCAGTGTAGGTCTTTAAAGGAGAACTATGAGGTGAGTGCTTCTCACTCATCCTCATAGTTCTAGCCGACCTGTGACAATGAGACTGTCACAGGTCGGCTCAGTAGATCGGGAAGTGAGCGAACACATACCGACGTTCGCTCACTTCTCGATCATGTCACGGCAGAGAGCCATGACATGGGAGGGGCTGGATTCCCCCCTCCCCTGTCCAATCCTCCAGCGCTGACTGGCGGAACGGACGGGTACAGCTGGCTCTGCCTCTAGATAGGCAGAGCCAGCTGTCACTCACGCAGCTGGGCGGATCCAGACATAATTGTCGGGATCCGTTTCAGCTGCGGCGTCTCAGTATACCGCGAGCTGTAGCTCGTGGTATACTGAGCCTAGGGTGACGGCAGGACGCTAGTTTGTGTCCTTGCGTTACCCTTAGGAGAACTATGGGGAAAAGCCCTAACCCCATAGTTCACCTTTTAAGTTGTTCTCTCAGCAGCTCAGCTCACTCCCCCATCCCATCAGTCACTTGGCAATTATCTAATCTCTAATATAGACTCAAAGTAGGTACTCTGAGAGGGTGGAGCAGGGCGAGCTAAGCAGCCTGAGAGAATGACTTCAGTGACTTGAGTGCTTCTGCTGTGAACTTTGAGGATTCATTGCTCCACAGCCTGTATCTACAGAGATCAGTGAGGGTTTGTTTTGAAGCTCAGTTGTTGCTTGTTAAATATATATGGACATCCATCTATCACAGGTTCGCTTTAAGGTGAAATTGTCATACATACATTAATATAAGCTGCACTTTATTATTTTAAGAAACCCTTTGTTATTTTCTACTGTCAGAGGGAGATTATGTAGTGGTGGGTTACAGAGAATGCAGCTGCCCCTATTTTAAAGCGACCACCAGACTCGTGCAGCGTTTCTATACCTCTGAATGTATCCTAATAGATGGTGTGATATTAGCATACAGGAAGCAGTGTACATGTTTAGTACAGATTATGAAGGGCATTGTCCGTTATTTTGCACATGTTATCCGATCACCATATATTTATTTACAGGCCATAAACTCAAACACCGCTGGCATTCTACAGTAAGACTTGGCAGAAAGCAATTAATGTATGCGAAAAGCAACTAATCCTTTCTGTTCAAATAAACAGGCCTTGCCATTTACCTTTGTATTGCCTATTAGAGATACAGCACAACATAACCTCAGAAAGAAGGTCATTCTTTCTATAAATGACACAGAATACAATGTAAGGTAATGAATCTGTTGTAAAGGTACGTGAAGCTGGGGAATTGCACAAATCCCCATTTATGAGAATGACCTACATCTGTTCCCTTGCAGATCTTTTAATCTGGGCAGTTTATGATTATTTGCAGGCTAGATTTACACTTCTAATGGCCACTGTCTGTATCTGATTAGGACACATTGTCAAAAATGAGTTCCTTATTAAAATCTCTTCTGCTTAGTATGACAATATCCTGGGTGAACTTTCACACTTTGTGATAGAAATTGGTGCTTGGTTACTTATAGCGAGGACTGTAGATCAGATTCCAGACTGTGTTCCTGCTCATAGCACCCTTCAGCGGTTATAATTCATACTATTTTGATCTGTTTACAGCTACTTGTACCCGGACATACTTGTCAGATGACACAGAAGAATATATGTGTTACCTGTGTTGCTCTGTTTCTAAGACCTTTTGATGTGAAAGTGTCGTAGTGAGTAGTTTGCTGCCAGTTCCCTATGCCTGTGCTGAGTTTCAGGTTTCCCTATTGTCTCCAAGGGAGGAAGGTTTTGCTCTAACAAGGAAGTATAGTGTACTTTTAGCAAGCACATATTTGAAGCAATCATTATAAAATGTATGTAGACCCCAAATCTATTATTTTCAATGTTGGCCACCGTGCCTTCCTTAAAAAAAACAAACAACTTTTGATCAGTTTTTATTCTTTTTTTTTTTTTTTCAACGTATTTAACTTTTTAGTCTTGAAAAAGACTAAAACAATAGTGCAAGTATCTCCTACCTTACATGTGTTTGAGAGTTTAAAAAAAGAACTCGGGGCAGAAATTGCATTAACCTTTGTTGTGGGGCTACCCATGCGCTACAAGGGTTGACCACTTGTTTTTGCATAGGGTAAAAAAAAAAAAAAAGGTTATACTCGCCTGATCTTCCAGCCTCTTCCACTTGGCATCCTCATGTCCTTTACACTGTATTGCATGTGATGACTCCAGGATTCCTAGACCACTGTGCAGTGGAGGTGTGGATTCCCCTCTCCGATCTGCCAGCGCGGACGGGGGAGGGGGCGGGTACAGCTGGCTCTGCCTCTAGATAGGCAGAGCCAGCTGTCACTCACGCAGCTGGGCGGATCCCGTCATCTACGTCGGGATTTGTTCCGGCTGTGGCGTCTCAGTATACCGTGAGCTGTAGCTTGCGGTATACTGAGCTTAGGGTAACGGGAGGACGCTAGTTTGTGTCCTCCCGTGACCCTAAGGAGAACTATGGGGAAAAACACTGACCCCATAGTTCTCCTTTTAAGTCTTCACACATTTGCTTAATCAAATCACTTTTTGTGAATCTGTTACAAAGTTTCTTACCTGGAGATTCTGTCTAACAGCACTAATGGTTGGAGGCTGACAACGCTAAGCCGCTGCTTCACGATTAACAGTAGCATTGCAACACAAGACCTGATAGACCTGATAGGCAGCCCAACAGTGAACTGAAGGAGTGAAAACAGCAGTCTGACAATGCAGCTGCTAATTGAGAGGCAGAAGCTTAAGCTGGCCATACACTACATTTTGATTCTCCTGTTCTGCATGGATGAGGGAATCCCCCTTGTCAGGCTATTGGATGGCAATTAATTGTCAGCCTGCAACAGGACATGCTGTTACTGGCAGGATCTCCAGGTAAGAAACTTTGCAACAAATTCAACAACAACAACAAAATCAACTTGCTGAAGAACTCTGGGCAAATCAGATTTTAACCCTTGCAGTGGGGCTTTTCTTGCACTGCAAGGGTTAAGTGCTCATTTTGTCTAGGTAGAAAAAAAAGCAAAGTTATACTTTCCCAAACTGTGATCCCAGCTTGCTTAAAGACCAGTCCTCGCAGCCTCGACCCTCCTCCCCTCCAGCAGTATAAGGTCCTGTGAGTTATCATGTTCTACACAGAGTATAGAACATGAGAACCCCGAGGGACAATCCATTGCTGCAGTGGAAGAGACAGGCTGGAGGGAGTGGTGTAGGAGCAAGCCGGGATCACAGTTTGGGAGAGTATAACTTTGCTATTTTAGCTGCCTAGACAAAATGAGCACTTAACCCTTGCACTACAGGGGTAGCCCCACTGTACGGGTTAAGATTTGATTTGCCCAAAGTTCTGCTTTAAGAACACTGTATACCATGATACATGATGCCAAACATAATACAGAAGGATAGTTATCTTGCAAGTTGTGCTGCCTCGCTGTCTTCAATAGTTTGACTCACTGACCTACAACAAATATGCAGATCAACTGAGTTAAAGAAGAATCAGAAGTCATCCTCTGTGTAGTTTTCTAAGCCAGTAAAACAGCAGAGCCAGAGGATCAGCATGGCAGCAAGGAAACTGTAATTTTCAGTAGATTAAGCAATCACAACCTCCATGATTCATCAGCACAAGTTTTCTTTTAATACAAAAACATGGAACAGCAAGCTTATAATAAACATGGATGTAAATCCAAAATCTATTTTCAAAATGGCACTTTTGAATTTCTTTGATGGCAGATTTACTTGAAATATTGAGATTTGTAGATTAGCCACTAGACGGAGCTCCCAGTGCCAAAGTGCAGTTATTCGGACTCTTTTACATAACTAAGGTTGAGATAAGATATTGGCCACACACTGAGTATTGTTTAGCTGAGGATTACTTTGACAGTAGAAGCTGTAAAGTAAAATAATCCTAGATTATTGTGCAGGACCACAAAGCAGAAAGTAGAACCTGTGTATGTAATGAGCAAATCTGGCTGCCCCATGTACATGTATCATTTCCAATTACAGAAACAAGACTTTTATAACCTGGTCCCATTCTGCTCAGTTAAATTTTGAAAAGCAATAAAGATGATTTATTTCACATATTTATCTGATAATGAGGCAATCTTGTATAGCAGCTATTCTCCTCGTAAGCTATTTAATCTAAAACTCCAACGTGTGCGATGACTTTGTATTCCAGGATTAATTGTCTGCCTGTTTCTTAACAGGGAGCCATGACACCATGACTTATTGTTTGGACAGATGTTCACCAATCGATCCAGATTCCCCAAAACTGCTGCTCTTTTTAGGGAAATATGTGCCTTATATAACGCGCCAAATCATCTTACGCTGGAGTACGACACAGGTATCTTTGTCTTTATTTTGTTTTGATGTTCAAAAGCCATAACTAACCCTTGAGCTACCAAATGTTGAATTTGTTAAGCACCAATCTGTGAATTGTTAAAAATAGAAATATTACTTGTAGGTATTTTTCCCCCCTAAAGTACTAGATGTTAAAATGTATTTCTTGAGGTCCTTTTTAAAAAAAAATTCTAGCTTGTCATAAGGGGTATTTATAGTTATTGTAGCCCAAGTGTTTTAAGCACATCATCACTGTTGTTTAAAGTGCAAACTGAAGCCAAAACTTTCATTTTTAGTTTTGGATAGAGTGGAGAGGGATTAGAACACCTGTCAGGATTTTATTGGTATCTGTGTTCCTGTTAGGGAGATCCACCCTCTCTATTTGTCCTGGTCAATGTTGTCACTGAAGGTGAAAGTGAATGAAAATCACAAATTGTGGGTTATCATCAGAACAGGAATAGATGGGAAATCTTCCAATAGGGACACTAGTTCTGGTGAACC